TTACAGAAAAATTTGAAATGCAATCCCAGAAAAAAGTAAAGAATGCATGTTTGATGATGATAAGGGCATGCATCACAAAATCAAATTGAGAACAGACAGAGAACTAAAAACTGATTTTTCTTTTGAGAAATACCTCCAAATAATTAAAAATCCACTATATAGTGCTGCAACGACTAAACTTAGAATAAGTGCCCACCGTTTACAGTTGAATCAGGCAGATACAAAAACATTTCCATCTCTGATAGAAAATGATGTCTGTGATCTTGGAGAAATTGAAGATGAGAAACATTTCCTTTTCACGTGCTAGCTATATGATAAAGAAACTAAACATAAAATGTATAGAGAGACATTAATAAACATATTAAATAATAAAAACGATCACATAATTAAAGACGTTTCAAAACACATTTATACTTGCTTTATACTTAGGGAGCAAACAATCAAACAATAACTTCAGTACCAGCTGCCTCAAAAAAACCCACCAAACACAGATTTACATTTATTTACATTATATTACAATTATTCATTTATCTCTTATTGTGAGATATGTATTTATTTCATTCATTTACAGTATTTTTAGTATTTCCTTTTATTTTCATTTTTTTGGTATAATTACATGTTTTTGACTTTATTGTATTTCATGTCAAGATCTCAAATGGGATACGATAGCAATAAAGAATTACTTACTTACTTACAATACCCCAAGAACGTACCAGGATGTAAGACTTTTACAAATTATGCAAATAGACTATTGTACAGGCTGAAATTAAAGTCCTGATACTTGCTGCATCATGAGGCTAGGATTTTTCACAAGTTGTAGTTCAGGGGATAGTTCGAAAGAGATCTAGTTAGTTTGTTTGTTGGGAATCGTATATTGGATGCTAGCCATAGGGTTACAAATCACATAATCATCATAATGAAATGTTAGATAATCCAATATCACATTAATTATACATTTTATTAATTAATATAATTCGTATATACAAAATAAATCACATAATACAAAATTAAGAATTAATATTTACAAAATTTGTATCAAATTAAAAACTAATAAGAAAAAATATAAAAAGTACTGTATGATTAAGTAAACAGACATGTGTTATTGTTTACATGTTTTAACAAAACAAAAATAAAAGTTTAACACATGATATTAAATAGCATTTTCCTGTAGTGCCTTTTAAGGAAATACACCAAAACAATAATCTTATTTACTAGTATTTGTTAAAAAACAAAAAAAGTTCATTTTAGTTACAAAATTAATACTTTGTTGATAAGATATTAAAAAAAATATATATTTTTTTTTCAATCGTAGAAAAATTATTACAGGCAAAATATTCCAGTATTTTAACCTGTCTTGCTTTAACTCTTTGAGTGCCAATTTTTTATTTCCCCACTTAAATTTAGGTAAATTTTCTATAATTTTTACTGAATTCAAGCTTAATTTTGGACAAAAAAAAAAAGTCATATTGCTTCTAGTTTTTGATCAAAAAGTTTGAAATTTTCACACATTTAATGTAATGAAAAGAGGGGACTATAAAAGAAGTCGACTTTGGCACTCAAAGGATTAAAGGGCGGCAATCGTTGTGTGCCGCGTCCTGTTCGATATGGGACTCATAGCGACGTATACAACGCGTGTAAAATACATTGTTTATTTACATGAAAACGACAACCGCACTTTAAATACTGTGTACTGCCTCGGCTCTGTGACATGACCAGCAAGAGCATGCAGAAACTGAATCTACTATTCAAAAATAACTATTTTTATTTTCAATATTTCAGATTGATTAAAGAAGAGATAATTTTTTTAAAAAAATCTTCAGTTTTCAGTTCATTTTAAATCTGCTGTACGTTTACAAGACTGGTGAGAGTGGTATATAACATGACGACAAACCGATGAATTAGACTTTGTGATTTGTTGTTGCAGGAACAAGTCATTATCAACGTGAATTATGTAACAATACATCACTAATGAAAATACCAATTTTAACCTGATTATTTGGCAACATTGAACCTGCTAAATTTTATCACGATAAAACCAAAGATCAGAATACTTACACAAAAAGATCATACAATTATTGATAGAAAATAGGTAAATAATACTTTTCTGATCTGTACAGTTTTACGCAAGTATATTGTTCCGTATTCAGAATACCACATACTATTATTATATTGACTTAGTAATGCAAAGCTATTGTTTTCAGTGAAAGATTGTTTGGAAAGGGAACATTTTACAATTATAAGTAGGCCAAGATACTGTAAAATACTTTATTTTAGCCGGAATTCATTTTCGCTGTAAAGACATTTTGGGTGTTTTGTACGGAAGTTGAATGTAAAATATAGAAAAAAAGGTATATTCGCTGGATTTTATTTTCACTGAATCATTCCTTCAGCAAAAATAGCGGAAAATAATTCCAAGCGAAAATAAAGTACTTTACAGTATTTCTTCTAAGCAAATGCAACTTTGCTATTTTCTCCAAGAATATCAAATAAAATATTGTTTTGTTATGTTTTGTTATGACAATGTCACATAAAAAAAAATGATAATGACTATTTTGGCGCAATGTGGTGATGTCACTGCGCAAGTTGGTGATGTCATCACTGAGCAAGTTTGTGATGTCACTGTGCAGCTTGGTGATGTCAATGAAAAGCGTTGGTGACGTCATCACTGAGACAATTGAATGCGAATAAATTTTAGAAGGACAACCATGTATCTAAAAGTCTTTGGTTAAAATTAAAAAAGACAATATTTAAATAAAATTTTGTACCATCCTTGGATTTTTCAAACAATACAATACAGCTCCGGAAAAGAATATATTAATACAAAATTAAACTCCAATAAAACAAAAATTTAGATTTCAACTATTGAATAATTTTTTTTGATGTGGGACGGCTACAATGTGGGACGGCTTAATATACAGATCAATCTTTTATACAATTGCAAAATAATTTAAACAAACAATAAAATAATTTCTAGGGGAGCGGGGGGGTGGGTGGAGAGGACAAGTTGACCTAATAAATTATATCATTTTACTGTCACTGAAACAAAAATCAAAATAATTCATTTCTTCTTAAATAGATAATGGGGAGATGTTGATTTGAAGTTCACATCAAGTTAAAGTTACTAGATACAAGTTACTATACATTTTAAAGCTGCATCATGTTATCTATATGAGGTATACTAGGTGGGCTGCTTTCTTTTTTACATCCTGCTAGGGGATCCAAACCCCATAGAATATTTATTTTTAGTATCTAACTCTTCCTGCAAGACCATGGCGCGTTGCTGTAAGGAATTTACTTGGGATTTCAATGATGAAATGGTGTCTTCCAATTCCTAGAAAAAGCAAGAATGTTTTTAAAAAAAAAAAAAAAATGTAATTGCAATGAAATCATGACAGATTGACAAATAGATGTTTTCGATGAGGTCAAGTGATGTGCACAATTTCAAGATGGCAGAAACACCTGATTCATTGTTTGTTTGTTGGTTGGTTGGTTATGCTTACCTCTCTTATCTGAGCCGGCATTAATCCCCTGATTTTATCTTCATAATCCTGCCTTAAATGATTTATCTAATCAAACAAAAAATGAGAAACTGTGCGTCAGTACCCATGATGCATTGCATATCTGCCATCATCGTAAAACCAAGGTCATCATTTGCATAATGTTGAAAAATGCCTGGTGATGTATTTTTTATTTCATTTGCATAATCAGTTGACGTACCTTTTCTTGATAATCAAATTCTTGATTCTGTAGTTTCTTTTCCAGTTTTCTAGCTTTGCCTTTTTGGGTATCGCAGTCTTGCTGAAGTCCCTGTTCGAACATGTAAATCAGGCATTTAAACATTAAAAATAACATTTCTCAGATATCAAAGTCGTTGCAACAGTTCTTCTCACGAGAATGTTGTCTGTTTAATGTTCCTACAACTTCTGTAATTAGTTTCTTTCTTTTCTAGTGAATTTATGAATATTGTCTTGATTGTTATCAGTTTGGCAATATTGCAGACAAACTGCAGATTTGGTGTCGCCAAGATGGACGGACTCACTTTCTTAAATCTTGTCAAAATGTATATCGTAGATGCTCTGACATGTCTCTTACTTTTTGGTTTCTGTTTGCTTCTGTTAACAAATATGATATGTATTTAGACAAGACTTAGGAAAGAGAGTTTATTTTGACATCATTTTGTAGAAATTCAACCTCTTTGCATTGTTCTGTATGCATTTAGGGCATTTTTTATACTGTCCATATTTAACGGTCTGGAAAGAACATACTCTTACTTTCATGGTGTGAAAATCATTTTATTTTAAATCCATCCAATTGTAAAATAAAATATTAATAAACAATTACTGTAAAATCTCTATTAGTAGCTGCGGCTTCTATTAAAATGGTACAATTCAACCGAGGGGATGCGGCTTCTATTAGAGCATCTACACATATGACAAATTGTGAATTTTGGTTCTCAATTGTTCAAAAAAAATGGGTGCGGCTTCTATTAGGGATGCGGCTTCTAATACAGATTTTACGGTATATGATAAATCACTTTTTTTTTTTAAATTCTGTTTTAAAAAAATATATATGATATGAACAAATCAGTAACCTCAACAAGGCACTGTCGACGCTAGAACAATCATCAAAAAATGATATCATTATGCAGATTACCAACCTTAAGAAAACTGCTATGTTGTTTTTTCAACATCTCTTTCTCTTCATTATATTTCTGTACAGTGTCAGATAGTCTTCGATCATACTCCGATTTCGAGCTGAGAGAAGAAAAAAAAAAAACATCAGTGAGTTCACAAGTTTAATTCAGTTTTCCAAAAAACACAACAAATAATATATAATATATTCACATTCTCTTCAATATCATATCATATTATTAACAATTTAAAAATAAAATATCAAATTCATATTACAAAGAATAATAAAACTTCCTGACACATGACATGGTAAAAGACATAAAGCCAGTGAACAAACAAAACCGCTTTGCATATGTACATCATCACTGAATGGTTCCAGTCGACTAGTGCTGGAGTCAAGTGGAGACCTGTTACTAACAAGTGACAGATTTTTTTTGTTCATCATTACTATAATCCAAATATTAGTCAAACCATTTATTTATAATTGGAAAGATAATACAATAACACATTTGATGTGACAAGAAACTGCCCATTGTATTTAACGATATGTTCTCGTGGTTATTCAATTTTAATTTAAAATGGAATTTTTTTTTTAGTCCAGGTATTGTCAGTAATTTGTGAAAGTAGGTGGTAAAACTGATACAATGTAGTGTTGAGTCAATGTCAATTTCATAGCGAATATTAAAAAAAATTGCAAAACCTAAATTAAATTAAATCAATGTAAGCATACATCCATTATCATTGGTTCGGTTCGGCCCTAAGCTAATTGCACTGTAATGTAATGTTACATAAATGCCAATAAAGCGTTGTTGCTAGTAAAGCAATTAAAATTGTGGTGTTAAAAATCTAAAACACTATGTGACAAGAAAAATCTGTATGGTCTGGGACTATGGCTAATGTGAAGTTATCTGTTTTTTTTAAAACACACATATTTGCTCAATTTTTAAAGGGCAAGAGTCACCGTCCTGTTTGATATGGGGTCCCATGTGACGCGTACAATGTTTACACAACATTTGAATGCACACTGTAACACTGCTGTGGCAAGTTTTTTTGGATATTTTTATAATAAATTTTTTCGCGACAGGAAATAATTTTTAAACATTTAAAACTTATTATTTTATGTGCAAATTGCCTAACAGAAACCATATTTCATGTTTGGGACTATAAGACTATGACTGTGGGATCATTTTCATATCATTAATGTGACATTATGGTATCAACCAGGCCTGATCGAACACAAGCACCAGCAAATCTTAACCAAGATTCCCCAAAGACGCATCTATTAGCGAATGAATCTCGGCCAGTGGCTTTTGCCTCCCTATTCAATCAAGAGGTATACTCGATGACTGACAATTTTTTGGTGTTCAATACCAGGTAGGAATTAAACTTTATCTTGGGCCTGAGCAAACAAGGATGTTTTGTACTAGTTGTCTTTACCTTTGTCCATCTTCTCTCATGCTTTGTATCACACTCTGGAGTTCAGCAATTGACTGAAAACAATTTTAAAAAGATTTAGTTTATAT